TATCAGTTTATATGCATAAAGAAGGTAAAAACGATTAAATAAGCTATATATAGATAGAACACTATAAATAAAAAAAGATAAAGTTCTCGGCGTTGATCGATCCCTGAGGAATGCGCCATGCATTCGATTTCATTAAGCATCGTTGAAGGTAATTGAATGCATTCTGACCTTCAAAATCACTTTCGGTGGCGTACTGTTGTATCGAACCAGTGCTGCTATCTTTTCAGGCAAGTCTGGTACCAAATTGCCAACCTTGGAGAGATGAAAGGCTTGGTGGGCTTTGGCCGCAGGGATCGATCCTTGTGTATTGCATGTCGCCTCCGACCACTGCGCTATACGCGTCCTTTGTGGAACACTGTAAAACAACAATTTATTATAGCATGGGAAGTGTCTTTGCTGTCAAACTGAGATGTAGAATGGATGTTCATTCAATTAATAGGGTAGACCAAGCTGTGAGGTTTTCCCATTTCCATCCGAAAATCGTCCTCGAGGAGCTTATGGCACTACAAAGGTCGACGAAGTCAGTAAAAATAAAAGGATTCGTACCGAATATGAGACGTTCGTGTCCTCAAACCAACGGAACCAAATGGATAGGTCTAACACGTGACACAAATGAATGGAGTTTTAGTGAGTTACTTTATTCGATGAACATTAATAGCATAAGTGAAAGATGACAGATCAAAGCATATATATATATATATATACATATATATATATATATACATGGATGGCCGACCTTCCAATCAAAGAACTAACCGTGCTTTTCCTTCAGTTTGGTACTTGAAGAGGAGTATAGTGCCTGTGTGGGATACCACGTACAAACCAGCAGATGAGTTAGTGATTTATTCCATCACCATTTACATCTTTTAGCTTAAAAAGTAAGGTTTCCTATTGCTCTTAACATATAACGGCTAAGACTTTTCGTTTTTTAAAGTGTTTTCTTCATGGAGTCCACATCTACCACTAACATCTTGCGGTTTTAAAGAACATTCTGCCACCTACAAATTTTACGGCATTACCGCTGTTTTTTTGTCACATTCTTCATTTCTAGGAGACCGATAGAGCAAGAGTAGCGATTTTGTTCATTACAACCAAGGCTCTGGTTCGAACTTGCCCAAGGCCTGCTTAGCCTCTCATCGCTCTGGCGTCGGTGTACTCATACCAAACTTGTCTCAGAACACCTCATTTCCTCTAATCTACATGGAAACGTTCTAGCACGGCAATTCGAGGAATTCAAAAAAAGTTGACTCGATCAGCATTCATCGATATTCATGAAAAGGTTTAAAATCCCCAAGCAGCAGCGGAATTCACACGCAAAACATCGAAGGTTTTCGTCAATGATGGATGCAAAGAACGAGTAGAATACAAAAAGTGCTAGGAATCACATGATATCTCTGATGCCAGATCATGTAAAGCGATTCACCGGTTCTTGTCCTGGTGAAAAGCCAAATTCAAATCAAAAAGATTTTTCCGTGCTATAATGAAGTTTTTTCAATAGACTAGACGCATATCGCTCACAAGTGAACATTTTGTGTCGTTTCCTGTCGTCTAACAACCATTATTTATAACCAAACTTATCAGAGTCAAGGGCCCACGTTTGTTGAAACACTCGGCCGTTCATAAGTTCGCAGTCCACACCTTCACTGAGCTCCATTTACCATAGCAACGCTAGTGTGCACGCGCTTCATCGTCTAATGGACCGGCGAACTGAGCTGGTCCATTGCATAAGCCTCGGACTGGCGATTTTCTGTTGGGTTTGTTCCCTCATCGGAGCAATCCATCTGTCTCGTTCCTATCTCATCTCACGTTACCAACCGGCTTAGCAATGGTGTACGAAGTCGTTTATAAAGAGGTAAGATCAACTGTCTAGATATACTGCAATAGAAACAACATATGTTTCTTTAAGATCAAACTAATAAAGTTTCAATTTCGGCTGATATTTACTTCGTATAGCATTTTTTTATTTGAAGCAAGTACTTTCATATGTTGAGAATTATGTTAAAAACTTTAAAGCAGAAAGGATAAGATGTTCGACGTTGATCAAAACTTGAAGGGACACGCTTTGCAGTCGTCTCCATTAAAGCTTCGTAGATGTCGTTGAATGGATACTTGGTCTAGAATTAACTGCGAGGCCTGCTGGAGTGCCAAGTTAATGCTTTTATCCTCCAAGACTAGTCTGTTACCAAATTTCCGACCTCTGAGAGATGGAAGATTTGATTTATCCGGAGTTTATGAACAAACCAACGACCACTACTGAATTGTAGGTCACCTCTAACCACTGCGCTACCTATATCCCATATGCTCAGTTAGAAACGAAGTATATAATAAGTCTAGCAAAATATATTTAGAAACTGAGATCAGCCTAAGAATGGGCCATGAAGTTCTAAAAATCAGGTGCGATCAAAGATAAGACAATCTTCGAAAGCACAAAAGAACGACCGCAAAATTCCTCATCTCTCATCTAAACACTTCATCGAATGACTTAAAATCCAGAATCTCAAGAGGATTCTTATCGATTTGTAACAGAGAATTTATTTTCTTGAGCTTGTGCAAACCGTTTTCACCCGCTCTTTGTTGAAATTACGTCCAATTTTGTTTAACTAAATATTATTTAGGTTGTGCTAAATTACTACCGGTTACGACTTCTAGAAATTTTCAAAACTGTTCTAGTATACGACACACTTAAAAATCACTAATTTCATTGCTTGCACAAAGGAAGTAAATTATTGGATAAAACATTATTACCACCTAGGAGTAAGGGTATGTGCTGCACAATGGTTAGATGTGCATCCGCAGTACACACAGGCTCGGTCATAATAGTTCGATCCCGCGTACCGGTATTTCTGTACCACCAAACGGTACTAAATTCTTTTACGAGGATAAGGTACGAATTTGATTAATCGATGGACCACAGCAAGTAATTGCACTGACCAGATAAGCACTCAATCACCTTTGCTATACTACGCATGGATCTGAATGCATAGCGCGTCCATACGGAAGTTTTAACTAAGAATCACGCAACACAATGCGCAATAGATAACATTTCTCATCAGGGAGTCTTTTCAGCCACTTTATCGGACCTACAACGCGTCAACAATCAGTTTCGCTTACATCACAAAAACTGTATTCGACTTTATTCGAATCTTTTTACCATTCGTCATCATTTTCGCCACACATGTGAGTAGTTCATTCAATATTTTAGGAATATGCAAGTTAAATATAAACATACATACAATATCTAAGGAGCGAATTGAGCAATTACTACCGTTGACTTCATTTGTCTCCTTAAATACTCTTTTTCAACCTCCAAGGTTTGTGAAGACCACAGAAAGGGTTAAGTTTTGTTAGCTAGATGATTCGTGAGCAAATCGGATTACAATGGCGACCGATGTTAAGTGACCGGTTTTTTGTTTCAAATATTGTAAGTATAAGTACCTATGTCTTTGTGGTCCCTTTCATTGGATCTCTCCAAGCACACCATTAATATGTTGACGACGAAATGAGTCAAATACAGCTCGCGAAATCCTGTCTGTCACATCGTGCTGGTGTTGACGATCTAGCAATAGCAATATTGCTTTTCATCCTGGGAGAACCCACCCTAGCCAGACAGCGGCAAAGATTCCAACCACCTAAGCTGGCGAACACCTATGATTAAAATTTAGAAATCTATTAGCAAGGCAATCTAGAATTCCAAGGATAACCACGTTCGAACAACAATCAACATGTCAATGAGGAGTTGGGGTGACCGACTATAAAGCCACTACCAAAACCATTAGCAACATAATGAATGGAAGATGTATTTAAACTAAGATTTTAGTGAAAAATATACCTTCAGAAATCGATCTGCATAAACTACTGTCTTTTCCTAATTAAATCGAAGTTCTACTAGACAGACTTGCGCGTCTGTGCATTGACTTCAATGCGCTAGTGCTCGAAATCAATTGTGCATCTAAATTTTAAGCGGAGTCTATCATTGGAATATGGATATTATGACAAAGAAAACTATCGTCAAAATGTTTCCTTATTCTATTACACGAAATCCCGATGTTTTTCGAACCCAGAAAATTGTTCTTTTTTCTCAAGTATTTTCAAAGCGATTTCGTCTAACAGGAAGCGACGACGTTTCGGACTGAGTTGTCATCGATATTTGCCGCTACCATCTTCTCGTTAAACGTTTTAGAAATTTAAATCGCTTTTAGTTTTTCGAGAATCTGAAATTTAAGCGGAGCAAAAAGTCTACGGACTTCTCTCCAAGTATACTAGTTATCGACAAATCATTGGCAGTTGTCGAAATATCAGCAATCAAGAAAGTGTGTTGACATTCAACCACAATAGTGCTGAGACATTTTCAAACCTCTGAACCGCAGTTGTCTACGATGGGGAACGAACGCGCTATTACCCTTTCCGAGGCTGACATGTTCACCACCACACCATACTGATCACACACATAACCCGGCCGTCCTTGGCCGGCTGTTTCTCATGCATTGTGCATCAAATGTATATATCATGAAAGTAGCTTATCTTGACCTTAAATAAAATAAAGGATAAAGTTCTAGGCGTTGATCAATCCTTGTGGGATGCACCATGCATTCGACTCCCTTAAGCATCGTTTGGAGGTGACTGAATGGCTTTTGCAATGACTCACGGTGGTCCACCAATGTATAGCGTCAGTGCTGCTATCCTCCCAGATATGTCTGGTACAAGTTTGCCGACGTCGGAGGTGTGGAGCGCTTGGAGGGCCTAGGGCGCGGGGATCAGTCCCATGCGTATTGCAACGCGCCACCGACCACTGCGCTACACGCGCCCGTTCTTCATCTTAGCAAACTTTAGCGACCGGAAAAACCTTAGTAACCAGCTTCTACAGGTTGGTTAGAAAGTTCTCCGACAATCTTAATTTCGGTTTTTTTTGTTCATTAACAAATGTGTTCTAGTGTTCATAATGGATCATAGAAAAAGTGGTCACACGAAGTGTGTGTGACTCAGAGCCATCATAGATTCTAATGACGTATGTTAATCAATTGACTCCATTGATCCCCGTTAACTATGAACTTGGTCACTTTACTAAATCTTCTTCCAAAAATCTACATTGTATGTGGAGCTGAATACATTTACAACTGTATGATGTCCAGATGATTCAAACGCTTCAAACTAAGAGACACTTTGCTATGGGCCTTAGTGATAGCCTTCCGATAATGGCTTTCTACCGAGATGGAATAAGCTGCTTAAGAATCCTATATAATCGTACTGTATAATACTATAACTTCGGAGTGAAATCACTAAGATGGCGCGTGTTGGTTCTTCTGCTCTTCTTTCTTCGTTCCAACGAAAAAAATTTCGGACGATATCGCTAGTAAAGCTAAGAGTTGGATCTTGCTTTTGAATTACATGGGTAAATACCGCTGATTTGCTCCTGAATAGAAGAGAATCTCGATTTAACTTGTTCCATAGGAACCCTGTCACTACGATTTTAGAGCGATGAAGATAGGTGGAACGTCTAGTAGCACAGCAATACAGTAATCTATAATATTAACTGAACTCAACTAATTTAAGAAAACCGTGTAAGAGCTGATTAATTGCGTGTTTTAAATGACCTCTTGTAGGGACTATGGAAAAAGACGGGAACATATCGTGAACGGCCTCAGGTGGCTTTTGAAGGACGATATTTGCTTCTACTTCGATCTGGCGATCAGTACTCCTTCAGCAGCACTTTGCCCATATTAAACAATGCCGACAATTCACACTATTCCGTATCACAATTAGATTACCAATGGATTCCTCTCCCAGAGAATGATTACGAGGTAAACGGATAGAGATTTCCTTTGGGATGAATGAATAATTTTCCCGCTGTTTCTGCATTCAGCTTCAACTGGACGTTTTTGTGCCAATGTCTAATGTGTCCTTTGATAGCCTCATATATTTCATCTTCTTAAAATATCGCCTTGACTATCACAGCGACGTTGAGGTAAACTTACCTTGTAAATTGAATTTATATTTAAAAAAAACTCAGTGCCCTGTCCGGAAAGACACATTGTCCAAAAGCTCTCCATCTGCCCTCTTCGCGATGCTGTGTCCATTGATCTCTTCGATTTTTTGAAATGTTATCAGTACTTTTAGTCAGGAATTATTTCCAGTTCAATAACTTCTATCTTTGTGAGTGGAAGAATAGAACCAATGTTGAAAGTGCTGCCAGTAAGCACTCAGTACTGCCTCAGCCTAGTAGACGAACGCCTGTCCCAAAACGGAGTTCGACGAATTCTCATATTTACCTCAACTTAAAGCTTTCGAAAACTCATGACTAGATGATTACTGCTGAAATTTCACCAAATCGTCAAAATCAGTAGCAGAAAAAACAATCTGTTTCTGTATCTGAACATCTGAACAAGGGAGCAATAAGCCCGCTCTCTGTACACAGACAGAGCCAAATCCTTCCGTAAAATACGAATTTTCATAAGCTTACAGACCTAACAGAGACGTTAACTTAGGCTGAAGTGGTCTTATACGATTCGCTTCAACTGTCAAGTTCGACTACGTCGTTAACTGTGCTTGGAACACTAGCCTCAGATCAGAAGCAACCTTTCAGGTGAATTTACTGAGATTTTTACACAAGGTTTTCAAAAAGGCAAAGGAATTGGAGGCCCTATTGTATACGGAAAAAAGGAGTACATTCATACTTGACAGTTACTTTCAGATGGAGGGAATACTACGAACTGTTAAACTACACACGCCGTGATGCGGAACACTACAAACCAGGTGAAATTATGCGCAGAATCACAATACAGCCATTCAACGTTCGGTTAGACAGGCAGGTTACGGTCTTCAAATCACTAGATAAATTAGAATACCCAGAAGCTGCTGATGACGCAATTGTTTATATGATACTTACGACTGTGATTACGCATATGTACACAGGACAAGGTGTTTTTGCTGAAACGCGTTCGTTGTATCTGCAAATAGCCTTCTCAAAAGCTGAAGGCAAACGTTCGCGGTAGCACCTATGAAACTTCGCCCGACATCCACTTTGTGCAAAACCCATGAGAAAACCGGTAGATGCGACATAATAACACAAAGCGTGCTTACAACACAAACCGGCTTTGTCTGTTTGATAGTTGGTGGTGAATCAAATCCAGCCACTGCCAGTTTAACTCGACTGCATATTCAGCTACAACAAGGTCGGAAGTGAAGCATTTTAGCTGGATTAGAGAAGCTTTAGTGTGACTATAAATGAACTAGTGAGGAACTCCACACCGAGCTTCACGAATGAGCCGGCATCTCAGGAAGAACCTGAATTGCAATGCATTGCTCAGCAACTTCTCTTTGAAGACCAGCGTCGGGTGTCGCCTACAACAACCGATTTGATCAAGTCAACAAAAATCAGTCCTGTCCAGCAGATTTCATTTCGTTTTGAACCGTAAATCAATACCCATTGAAGAAAAAGCAATGAGGCCGTAGTATACTAGGTGAGGAGGACTACCACCATCATAAATTGGTCACCTATGTTTCCTGTATACTTTCTATCATTCGAAGTGGTCACGAAAGCACTGATAGGACGTAATACTAATACAAATGTATTAGTACGACGACATGCTAAACTGGATGGTTTCGTTTAAAACGTGAATTTAACCGCCAAAAACAGTGATGGCGATGTGAGACGTCATCAACATACTGTAAAGAGAACCAGTTTAGCAAGAAAGGTTTCAGGAAAGTGTGTGATCTTAGCTTCTGTCTTAACCGTTCGCTACAAACTGTGGAGTTTATTTTAAAGGACGAGGTGCTAAAAATTGGTTGGTACGGAGCTATCGTAGAATCCCGATGGAAATTATGCAACCAAACCAGAAATTGACGAAACTCTCCGCCAAATGTTAAAAAAACAGTGTTCGAAAACCTACACTTATTCGGCCTCATCATGGGTAATCAATAACTTTCTTATATATTGAGCTTAAATGACTAGAAACCTTCTTGTAACCTGGTGTAAGCTCAATAATCGATAATCAATAGATTATCAAACGAGCAGCTGGACAATAGACGGCATGACGAAAGAATTTCTTCACGAAGACCATGATGACAAGGCATCGCAATGTATTCGTTTCTCTGTCGAAAAGACCACTTTAACTTCGTTACATCGCGAATACAAACACATAGTGTTTTTAAATCCATTAAATCGTTAACGAATAGAAGGCAATTGCTACACAATACGAGTAGTATGGCTGCGTGTAGCGAGTGGTTGGAGGCGCCCTGCAATACACATACACGACCACCGCGCCTTAGGTTCACCAAGCCTTCCATCCTTGTGTAGTCGGCAAACGGGTACCAGATTTCTCTGGGAGGATAGCGGCACTGGCTCGATATATTGGTAGGCTGCGAGTCATTGTAAAGGGCAGATATGAATTGAATCACCTCCAATCGAAGCTTACTGAAGTGAAATGCATGGTGCATCCCTAAAGGGTAGATCAACGCCGACAGCCTTATCCTTTATAGTTCTACGAGCACTATTTTAGATTGAAGTCCCCTACCACGGTCTCGGTATTTGAGATTTTTTAAAAAATAAACCATTATAAGACGAAAGAATAACAACGTGTCGGTCTTCTAGGTATATGAAGAAAAGTGAAAAGACCATAAGTCTATGCATGAAGCCAACACTAAGCATATCAAGCGTCATTCGACGACGTTCTCCCTTCCAAGCACTTTCATAACGAAAAGAACGGGCGGTTTTCATTAAAAAACACAGCTCGTGTTTATTTTAGTACCATATAAGTAATTCCGTGGAAATATACTTATTTCGCCCATGTCCAACAGAATAGAAAGCCCTTAATTTTCTCTTAAAACTAGTTTCGTTAAGCGCTCATGTAAAGCTGGGAAGTACTACTCACGAACAATTTAAGGAAAATGCAACTTCCCATGGGTAACGCAGAAAGTGACTCTCAATTTCACCTGAAAATGAGAGCTATTGTTAGCGAAGACGAATTCACATACAGATGCGACATGTGGGAACTCCTCAAATGGGCAGCTGTACAGTACGCCACTGTTTTCACTGTGGTAAACTTTTTAATCGATAGCCTTTTGAGTTTTCTATTCCGAAATCGATTAGTGGATGCTGTTCCTTGTTGTAAGCAGAATTAAGTCACTAAAAATAATATTCATTGCCTGAATATTCAATTTTGAACAGGCAACTGCAAGTTCTAACCGAGTTGTAAAGATCATATCACCAATAAAAACATGAAAATAATACATTGTAACACCGTGAAATAAGAAGCTCTAGAGATCGAAAGTACCGAAAAGTGATAAAGACGAGGAAACCATAGTAGCAGCTTCGAAAACAATTTAAATTAGTAAGTAGAATCGATTAAAAAAGAACACGACCACTTCTCACAGATGAGACCCGATGGATTCGAAAATTTGTAGGCCAGCAGCACAAAAACCCATGCCCTAATAATCTAAGGTGTTAAATAGAAAAATCTCTATTAAAAAGCATAGAATATCTGTTGAATAGAATACATTAAATCAACGGGAAGCCAACACCCAAGTCGAATACATTAACAAGTATATACGTCTAGTTTCATACACTTGGCTAGCTCAACTAACAACCTCATCCCTGTCGTCCTCTGCAGACTCTAAACCAACATCATCTTCCATCAAGGACACATACTCTCCACATGCATCCAGAACTGGGAAGCTCGAATACTCCATTATCTCCTTAAGTCTGAAAAAAAACCTAGCATGGGTCAAGGATGTAAACAGATACGAAGGTAGAAAAAGGAATTCTTCGAAATTACTAACCTTGCCGCCTTGCCAACCGATCTCGCTAAAAATATGAAGGCCATAATTAGAAGTGCTGATGAGACCAGAACAGCACTCATGATCTGGCTTACGCTACCAGGCAGTAGGAAAGTGAAAAGCACTACGGAGAGAAATCGACCGACTAGAGAAGGAAATATGTAATAGTCCAGCTGTGTCCCGCTTCGAGGATGTACGCGGACCTTTAAAATTGTATCGTTTGAGTACAAAACAGATATGGTCTACAACACATCAGTGGAACATCTCACGAAGGAGGTTAATTAACGTGGCCTAAGCATTACCTATAACATTGTTTTGCGCTTTTCAACACGATAAGTGTAATCCTATATCAAAGAGAAGCTCACTATATGTGGATATGGATCGTAGTAGTAGGTTTGGCAGAGCTTGCCAAAGTGTAGAGTTGCAGCGGCAAATTTTGAACAAACGAGCTGACAAAGCTGGCGAATAGATTTAATATTTAAAAGTTATTTGAGATGAACCAAATAACGCACTGTGGCTTCACATCATGAGTTAGAATTTTGTCGTAGACACCACCGTTTCGAAAACCGCAGAACGAAATGCGAAGACAAAATGATAAAACAGATGAAAACCACGTGAAAGAACTGATCCCACCTCTACGTGAAGAAATACCACCAGTCCAAACACTCCAGTACCCATGGAAAGTAGGACAAAACTGGCGAACGGATCAGCCGATGGATATAGAAGCAACAGACTCCCCAATGAGGAACACATTAATGCTAAACAGCATCCCAAAACCGAATAAGCACACTGACCACTGTAACAGTGAGAAGTAAATTTTCGTGCAAACTTATCTCAATACAGCATCTATTCTTTAATTAATAACGCAGGTTGACGTCACACTTATCGGTTCAAACTACTGAGACGAGAATTTGCAGCGAGCCACCAGAAAGTCAACAATATCAAAAATTTTTGTTGACTTTTTATTCCCTGCATACTACAACTTTTCATGGCAGAGTACTATGTGAAATACAACCATAATGATGCTGAGGTAAAAACTAGCTCAGAGGAAGGCGAAACGAATAAGGAATCTATGGTTTCTGAAACATAGCCATAACGATGCACAGATATTTGCAAAACTTCGGATCGTAAGGGTCTGAGGTGGGAAACTAACATGCTCTTACCCTTTCCAAAGGCTAACGCGTTCATCACCATACCATGTGGGTCCTTAGTTTCGCATGTCTCTCAGAAAGGGTAGTAGCGTGTTCGATCTCCAAAGTGGACACCTGCGGTCCAGCGTTTTGCACATATCTTAGCATCATTGTGGTTTTATCAAAGATGCTCAGTAGAGTGAACAAATAACGTTCGCGGATCTCATTACCACAACGGAAATCAGATGTCGTCAAGCAGTGGCTCATTAACATTATAACTTATGCAAGAATGTCACACTACTAAACAACCAAGCAATATCCCTGCCAACTTTAGTCGTAATAAATTACACAGTAAGGGAGGTTTAATACTACTTGCTTACTTGGATACTTGGATGGCCCATCCTCACCGGATGTGCGAGCCCCAGCATAATCTCCACTTTTTTCGGAGTTTTGCTAGTTTGGCCACTGTGGTTCACTGGAGACCAGAGGTCAGCTTGGCGAAAGTCTGCACCTGGTCGTCGCCACCACAAGCAATCGAAGCCCTTGTGGATCAAAAAAAGGTTTGCCACCACGCGGCTAGCTTGGTACTAGGACGGTGAGGGACCTTGGCCGGATTCTTCCTCAGCTTGAGAGAGCCTGCTAGGAGGATGAATCTTCAGCCATCGCAGCCCGACACCTAGGAACACCTCCTGGCCACGATGAGGTGGGAAACTGCTGGAAAGGATTTAATAATACCGTTAATTTAAAAAAAAACGAAAACTGAAAGTAAAGTGACTTACATCGGAAGGTATAATAGAAATATGAAAGATCGATGGAGTGTACCTACCTAATAATGACAAATGAGCGGCTAATCACAACGACAACATGGTGCAAAATGTTCATATAATAGGTGTTTCTCTGCGATGATAAGAGGATAGCAGCCAATCCGACCAGACCTAGATCAGAGCTGTTAAAGAAACAAAAAGATAACAAAAAATGACGTACTTTCAAGAAAAGAGGCAATTGTTTGTACGGTCGCAAGTCGTAGACGGCAACCTTTCGTTAGACCAGCAACAGAAGGATCGAATAACTAAACTAAACGTTTCACCAAACAGCAAATGAAAACAACAGTTCAAATACAATTAACAAAAAACGCTAACAATGCAACCAAGCTGATACTGATATATTTGCAAAACTCCGAACCGCAAGTGTCCGTGGTTAGGGCCTAAGACGCGGTTACCTTAACCGGGGGCTAACGCGCTCACTACCACAGCATGCGGGACCTTCGTTTCCCGTTTCGCAAGTTTTCTACCTAACGGTAGTAGCAGTTTCGGATAGAATAACGTGAAATGCAGTGTTTATACCTTATTAAATAGGAAAATTGTGAAAGTGCTAGCAATGGAATTCGGTTTTCAACTTACTAACAGCCGATAGACCTACCTTTAAAAACTTCATGTCGCTCTTAATGGTAAGTGGTAAACAACAACAAGCGAAAGATAGGAGGTAGATAGCAAACATAGTTGTCGTGACTACATTAGCAACACGATTGCCCGTTCGATCTCCTTTGTGCCAGACGTTCGTCGGATGAATATCGGTTCTTGACAGCGACGAACTATAAAATAAAGCGTGAAAATAGTATGTTTTGCATAAATCACAATATAACCATTTTTACCTGTCACTTATTCTTTTTTCATGGTAAAGTATGATGTAAAAGTATAATAAAACTACAATGATGTTGAGATATTTGCAAAACTCAGGACCACAAGTGTCTACGGTGAAGATCGAACCTCGCTATTAGCCTTTCCAGAGGCTAGCCTGTTCATCACCCACATCGTGCGTGTCCTTCATTTCACCATTCTCTCAGTCCTTTTACTATGTGCTTAACTTTGCTCTTTCTTCAATGTAAAAAAAACGACTACCTGCTCCGTTCTACGGTCACCGCTGTGGCGGGTGCACTTTCCGGTGTCGTGATATCCGAAAAAGGAGAAACGGAATTTCCATTACGATGGACTTCTGTACGCAAAATTGTTGGATAAGCACCTGGAAGGATTTGAGCAATGAGAAAATTTTCTTTTCATCCCAGAAATGACATGTTGTTAAAGACTAGAGTTAGGAGGAAAATGCGGCGAAAAATTAAAAGAGGCGTATAATCGTACAAAACCGACATGATTACACAAAAAACCACGATTCAGATATTACTGCTAGAAAAATTTGAAGATACTGACATTTCTGATATTACAAATGGGTTGAGAATTGAGCAAGCAATTGCTAAAATATCACTGATTCCGAATCTGATCAACACCTCCGAGACTATTATAATAAACGGAAAAAGCCCACCATATTGCGATGATAAGAGCGCGTATGGTGCAGTGGTCGGAGGCGCTCTGCAATACACATAGAATCGATCCCCTCGCCTCAGGCCCATCAAAGTCTCCATTCCTTCGGGGTTGGCAAATTGGTACTAGACTTATCCGATAGGATAGCAACATTGGCTCGATACATCGGTAGGCCACCGCGAGTCATTGTAAGGGCCAGATATACATTCAATCGCCTCCAACGATACTTAATGAAGTCGAATGCAGGACGCATCCACCAGGGATTGATCAACGCCGAGTTTTTTAAAATTCTCTATATCCTGTAATGATAGTTAAATTCTACTACTGTCTTACTTGACATTTCAAATGAGCTGACATTCGAACTCCGCGTTGCATTGGACCCAAGTGCTTTACGCATCTGCTGATTTTGTTCTGACTTCGACGCCATTTGTTTAATTCCCTGCACTACTTGGGGCCTGAAATCTCCTCGAAGTTTTAAGTGCTCGAAACAACAAAAATGTGGTTCTAATACGAAATAACAGAAACCACAGTCAAACTACGTCCGAAGAGAATCCTACGCCAGTAGTAGTAACTAGGTAGTAAACAAACTACTAGCAAACTTAACAAAAACTCATGTCATACTTCCGAAGCTTCATAGTTGTTGTTGAATCATTCACTGATCCAAGTTCGACCATGTTCCAAGTATCCACAGTGGAACCAAAGGCTTCTCGCTTGTGAAGAACAACTGGAGAACGAATAAACTTTTAGTCCACTAGAATCACGTGGAGAGATCTTCACTTGCAAACGATTCTCAAACCTTCGTGAAACGCTGGATCGTGGAGAAATAGGACCAATGAAGAACCGATGGCTAGAAATACATAGAAAAACAACATTTTTCTGTTGTATCCGCGCCAAAAAATGAACCAAGTCGCCAGCCCACCTAGGAAAGCGTAACAATCGTTGGTTTGGGATTGAAAGATGTTTGCAGAACCAACATCGGAGAAACCTTTCACTTTAAAACAGACTACATATTAACAAACCGTACAAGATGCTGCCGGTGACAAAACCTAGTAAGACATTTACAATCCTTATGTCAACCATTCCGGAAAAATCCGAAATTATCCACGAACAAACACAAACTGCTGCAGTACAAAGGAATAATAGTAATGTGATACTTATTCTTTTACAGAAGAACTTTCCTGAAAGCTAAAAGCTGAATCACTTTTACTAGCACCAGGGTTCATCTTCATAATGGAAAACACTTAAGGAGGTTACATAACAATTTATAAAACGATTGTAGACCTCTTTATAGGACCGAACAGAAGTGAAAATGTAAAAAATTACTGCTATAATGGATTTCCCGGCTCTCACAAAATCAATATCAGAAATATGAAGTAAAATATATTCAAAAATGAGCTTTAGGGACTAAAAGTGGAGAATTACAGTCATTTTGAAAGGCTCCGGACAAAATCTTCGTTTAATAAGAACAAATTCAGTACAGCAATAAACGTACCAGCTACTGAACCAAGCAGTAATCCCGCGCTATTCCCAGATAGAGAACTAAAGAACATTTTATTTGAGGATGATACCACAAGCGAGGACAAAAGACACCACACACCCTGGAAAAGTTGTAACAGAAATCCTTCCGACATTCATGGAAGCAGTTATCGCATTTCAAATACTGGAGTTACTACTACTGAAAAGAAAACAGCAATATATTTGGGTACTGAGATGGCCCATCTTCACTGGTTGTGAAGGCTTCAGCATAAGCTCCATTGTTTCCGAGTTTTGCTGGTTTAGCCATTATGGTTCCCTAAAGTCCTGAGGTCAATCAGGTCAAAGTTTGCCCCTGGTCGCCGCCATCTCAAGCAGTCGCCGCCCTTGTGGATCAGAGGGAGATTTGCCACCACGCGACTAGAGTGGTGCCATGACGGTGGTCGATCCCGGTATTGATTTACTCTCAGCTGGGTTTCCTGATGGAAACGCCGGACTCTTTCTCATCTTGGAATACCTTGATAGGGGAAGAATCCTCCCGCTATACAACGCACACCGACACCCGGGAACACCTTCCAGTCACGATGAGGCGGTAAATCGTTGGGAGGTTGAGGGGAGCAGTAATATAAGCACTGAAACAAAGTGAAGGTATTCTTTCTTGATAAGCTTGCACGAGGTTGATAATGATATTTATTTTCGGCTAACGTTTCGACGTCTTCGTCTTCCTCAGAGCCGGTGATCCGAGTCGATGGTCCATGCTTGTTGTTCGCCTCGACGTTGCGTCTTCGCCTTCCTGTCGAGCCAGATCTTCCTCAGCGAGCCATCTTCTCGAATGAGGCATCCTCACTCATTGATGCCCTTTTATACACGATGCTGATGGTGGATATATAATGACAATGTCCGGTGGTAACAACTTGTATTTCTTCCGGACATACATCATTGCGCACATCGTGCAGAGGTCGGTGTGTTATCAGCTAGCACAAAGCGTAGTAATATTTCGAAACCGACCTTCCCTAAACCTTGGTGTGACAAATCAATATGTATTCTTTCTTGATAAGCTTGCACGAGGTTGATAAATATATTTATTTTCGGCTAACGTTTCGACGTCTTCGTCTTCCTCAGAGCCGGTGATCCGAGTCGATGGTCCATGCTTGTTGTTCGCCTCGACGTTGCGTCTTCGCCTTCCTGTCGAGCCTTTTCGAAATACAAAGTGAAGGATTCGAAACAAGCCGTCAAACTATAGAGTGAGGACTTTACTCAATCTACCTACACCTGTAAAACTAATGAACCCACCACACCGAAATAGGTTAGGAGCAAAATTATGTACATGCATGTGTATGTTTCTGGTTCCTTACGATATATCTTAACGCTCTTACTGGGTGAGAGGAGCAAGTTCTGGAAACAAGCTTATTACGAATTGTAATGAATCGCTGTTCAATCAAAGAAATTGCAAAGAAGGCTAACTCTATCAAAAATGGGCTCCTCCTCATCGGATTCCGATTTCAATTCTGTCAATCCATCAATACTGACATCTACGAATCGGTCTTTCTCGGAGGACGCCTTCGCCTTCGAAGAGGAAGAAGAACGGATTTTGTGTGGACTTTCGTCTCTAGACGCTAGTACTGAAACCACCACTTTTAGGATGTAGAAAGTTTGAATCATACTCATATGGTGAGCATCAAGGCTCCCTAGTCCGAAGATAAAAGTGATAGCAAACTCACTTCCCAGTTTTGAAAGAATATGCGAGTCATCGTGGAAGTTCATGCTCCAGGGAGGCGTCAAAACATGAACAACACTAAGCGATGGACATGATGTAATGCTGTCAATCAATACATATAAATCGATTACCAACGATTTGTATAAAATGGGAAGAGATTTAGCAAATGAGGATAGCGCCTATAAAACACAGCCGAAAGAAAGGCGAAACTAAGGGCAAGTTCGGCGTGGTGGTGAACGCACTAGCCCGGAAAGGGTAATAGCGAGCCGCATACACCTGTGGTCCGGAGTTTTGCAAATATCTCAGCATCATTCAGATTAAGTGTTTACTAACAGAAACCAAAATGATGGAAATTCCAGTGTGTGTTACTTGTACCACAAGTTACCACAAGGAGAGTCGCTAAATTAGCTGCGACACGAAGAGCACGCTACCAACTTCTTTTCACTTTAAGAATGTCACAACATTGGAATACATAGACAGTAACTTAAGTGTGACACGAAATCCCTTAACTGAAAACCGTTTGTATAATCTATAACAGAGAATTTCTCTCAACGGCTCACCGCCACATCGTGGCTGGGGGTGTTCCTGAATATCGAACTGTGAAGTACAGCGGGAGATTCATACCACCAGCAGAGTCTCCCAAGCTGAGAAGGAGTCCGGCGTTCCATCAGGCCATCAGGAAGCCTAGGTAAGAATAAACCAATACCAGGATCCGCCACCGTCCTGGTTTTTGAGGTCGTGCGTTGGCGAGTCTCCCTGTGATCCACAAGGGCGGCGACTGTCTGTAGTAGTGACAACCTAGGGCAGACTTTGGGTAGGCTAAACTCGGGACTCAGGGAACCACAATGGCGAAAACAGCAATTCTCCGAAGAAATGGAAATCATGCTGGGGCCGCACAAGCAGTGAAGACGGGGCATCCAAGTATCCAATGTTTAACAAAGGATTATAGTAACAAACAAAAGCTTCTATTCAATAATTCAGTCGATCAGAATAGCGGATAACGAGAGGTCCTTACGTAAAGGTAGTAAAGTAGTAAGGTAAACAGCAATAAGTCTAGAATGAACCACACATTACGAATTCACGATCCCAGCACGTTACAAACCAAATATCAAATAAAACGGAAGAATAGCCGGAAATGAAAAGAGGAAAGGTGACAACAGTAGCGAAAATCCTTAGGCTTGTTTTCTTAAGTCTTTCAGCTCTGTCCTTCTCATTTTTCAAGGGTTTCTAACGCAAGAGTCTAGGAAAGTGTTGGTAGAGAGTATGCTCAAACACAAATCCTCAAACGCACATGTTAGGTTACACGGTCTGATCGATAAATCATGGAATTCGCTACGAGGATTCCAGAAATAGACGCAGCGATAGCTGTGCTGGACACAAGGGCGAGTCGACGGACGGCTTCGCTCATCTGAAGCGATCGTCCCTTGTACGGTAAGGTGCCCTGCTGTCATGGGAGCAGACCAGAAAAGTTGGTAACATCTGTTACGTGTTTTCAACTGACAATACCATTTTCGAACTGGTGCATTTGACTCGTCTACGATTAATCCTTCACTTGGCACTAGCACATCCCAACACACTAGCAAAGCCGCGGTTCCATACGAGTTGTACCGTTCCGGGTCCTCATAATTTCCATGCTCTAACTGGTGCGAGCCGCTCTGCGACGAGGTTTCGCCACGGTGGAACGTGTCGGCGGCGGCGGCGGCGCGCGCGGTTACGGTAAAGGAAGCGCGTGCTCTGCGTCCCTGCCGTGTCTATGCGTCTGGTTTATGGCTGGCGCGCGCACGTATCGCTTCGCCATTGCATTGAGCATCGTGGTGCGGAGTGGAGGCAGCATGTTTTCTCTATCTTTGATTGAGTCAATAGTTTTGATTCACCAGTCAAGAACACCTCATTGGTGTCAGTCTCCGAGCAAGTGAAGTGGTCGCATGGGAGTGTGGACGCTTGTCCATGCTACGTACGGCGAATTGCGTTAGGCAGTTCTGCCGATGTGATCTACACCAGGGACTTGTGACCGTAAATGAGAGTTCTGCAAGAAACGTTCCTCAACCTTCATTGCATTTTCATTCATTTTGATTGTTTCTATCTCTAATGCACCTCACTTGGTCTTTTCCTAAAGGATGTTATCTTACATCCAGGGCATTGTTTTGCTCTCGGTGAATCTACTTTAAAAATTTAACAAGCAGGTACGAGGATAGCCTTGGGCTTCTGGAAATGTTCTGGAAAACATTTCTGTTGACAATGTAGACGCTTTCGTGGCCCGGCTGGGATTTGTTGCTGGCGGTCGGGGCAATCGATGGAGAGGAGAGTGCGTCCGCGGAGAGGGCACTGACGGCGAGAGAGGATGGGTCGGCAGCGACAGGCCGCGTCAGTCGGAGAAAGCGCGCCGTGCGAGTTCTCGAGTGTTCCTTCTGGCCTCGCGTTGGGCTACACATTGATGCTTCCCGAAATGGGTCTTTATTTGGCCTTTACACGGTTTGTCAAAGAGTTGAGCTCCAAAGAGTGTAAAGTGCAACAATCAGCAAGGTTCCTGTGTAGGTCGTGTGGGTGTGTCCTTATTTGCTTGTAAGTTTCAATTCGTCATTTTGGCTACTACCTTTCTAGCAAATATAGCTGGGTATTTAGTGTTGTCAGAGTGCTCCCGTACTTCCCACTACGTGGAAGTTCATTCCGTCCTGGGCCATGGCAAGTCGCATATGCGTCGTTTTCTTTAGCATCCTAACCAGAAATAGTTTTCCATTGCCTAGAGACCTGTCCATGAGCAGTGACTGCTGTTTGTCTTAGAATGCCTTCATACTCTGGAGTGCTTCGTGGTTCCAAAGCCTTATCGATTCGACATCCGCATACCAGCGGAGATTGTCGGAACGATCGATAGCAGGCGCGTCCGTCGTCGACGTAATGCTGCTGCGCCCGCCCTTCTGGGATACAGTATGTGGTCAGCGCTAACGAAATGGATGGAGGGGCACTGCGGTGATGTGCACTTTATTCTATCTTCTAGTTACCAACTTATGACTGTGTTATTTTTGTACTTGTCATAGTTGTAGTTGCTGTGGTTACTTTTGTCCACAAGTTTTCGCATGAGGCTTGGCTGCTTGAGGGTTGTCGTCGTCTTTATGAATTCCACTGAATTCCGGTCCAGCCGGTTCTCCTTAGAATCCTGGGGCAGCCAGTCTAGAGCGTTCTGACTTGAAATGCAGGGAGTGGCCTGTTCCTAGACAAGTTGTACAATTTCCCAACGCGGGAAGTATTGAATGTTTGGAGAGCTCGGTGCGGGGTCGAACCAGCACCTTGCTCGTGTTGAACGACATCACTACCACTGCGCTCTCCCCAGTCCACTACTGTTATCGGTTCCATTATCACTGTTACCGTTGTCACTATTGTTATCATTACTATTAATACAATTACTTCTGCAGTCGATAGGTACCATTACTTCTGTAATCGATAGGTACCACTATTAAATCACTATTGCTACTACAATTACAATGACAGTCATCAAAATTACACCATTGTTATTTTTTTATTGTTATCACAACTACCTTTATAATCGTCACTGTTATTACTGTTACCACTTTTGGTTACTATTATATGCCACTATATCCTACAGTGCGGATGAGGCGTGGCCTGGTTAGAGAATTGCGAAACGTTGGCACTTCGATGGCGGGATATTGGGAGGACTGCTAATGCGGTTCAAGGCTGTTGTACTAATGCAAAGTACTCTTAATAGCCACCGCTGTTGAGAAAAGTGCTGCTCATTGCATTATTCATCACTCTGAGAAGCAGCTGGTAGTGGTTTGTTAACGGTGAGAACCTACGAAAGATTGAAACTGCGACGATTCCCACTGAATCGGTCATGTAAACCTCAAACACGTAACATCGGGTACATTGAATGGGAACGAGTTGGAAATATGATACAGATGAGCGATTCAAAGTGATAAATTGAAGTGAAAAAGTAATGGGAAATGCACGGAGCCGGTTGGTGACAAATATTACTTCCCAGAAACATTGATTTGCCATTCCCTTCACACTGAGAATAAGATGGATTAAAGTGTTGCTGTTGTCGTGCCTGCATATCTCCATTACGGATGTTTTTTATCCCTAAGTAAGGAACTTTTCAGGTTATGGTAGATCTTATGGATGGAACAGAAGATTTTCAAGAACGGGCGGATTTCGAGGATGGTGAATTACCAGAAGAGGGAGAGATCTGCGACGACGACGAGGAACCCATGAGAGGTAATTATGTCTTAGGATTGGGAAATTGGGCAAAAAAACACGGTAGTACGATTTAAAACTTCTTGTTAGCAACAGTAGGCAAGTACCAGGAAGGTTTGCGTGTTGAGAATTTGTGGCAGTGCCTGAAGTCAGTTAAGAATGTGCGAGCCCGCAAAATAAGAAAGGTTGTTTTTAAAATAACATAGAAAAGGTAGTAGAAAACATATAGTTCAGCTCAGAATGTGGTGGGTCAGAAAATATTGTGTTGAGAAGCAAGAGAAAATAGGGGAAAGAAAGCTACACTTGGGCGAATTGTTAAGGATCAAGAGAGGTCGAAAAAGACGGGGTTTAAGTGTGTTGGTGTACCGGGGATTATTTTAGTACTTCACATACATATAGTGTACTTCATATACGAGCAGTACTGGAATCCGAATCGAGCATCCCAGTTCTACACGTTTTGGTTTCCATGTGTTGCACAATGTCTTGAAAAGCATATGAAAGTAGCTTCGTGCAAAGTTTTTGACCAAAACATCTTTCAGCATATTGATTTTCAGTATATGTGTAAACAATCCACCACTTAGGTTTTCTTTGCAACCTGGGAATACTTTCTTCTTGGGATGTGGTAGGTCATCTGGTTGGACAAATGCGAAATTTTACTAGAGTTCATATATAGTTGAAAGAAAGTGTCTCTGAAATAATATGCTAGCTAAACAGAGTGTTTGAAAACATCTGTAGTTTGTTTGGGTGGACATTTTTTCCTTTGTGATATCACATTCAAGACTTATTTTCTTCATCTTCTGACTTTGTAAACGATTCCCATTTCTAGCATGTGAAGGCGCTAGCCACTCCAGCCCGGGTCATAACGATGGTGAGGCTGCCGAGTCATCAGGTGGTACATCACCAAACTCTGCAAAACCTGCACGGGCGAATAAACAGGTCGCTGGCTCATCGGTGTGTTGCTGTTTTCGACAATATTACCATTATATGTTAGGCACAAGAGCATGTGTTATAAGCCGTACAATTTTTTGTTCACTGATCACTATCACATTTGCAAAGAGCATGTTCTATGAGTCCGTTATTTGAGGGGTTCAGTACGGGTTAATGGCTAAATCACGTGCCACGTCTCTGGTAGTGTGTAGAGGTTAAGCGCGCAGCAGCAGCAATCTTGTGCCAGCACAGGAACGTACCTCGGTTTAGAATTGGCTTTCCTTTCTCTACTACGCCAGATTGAATTGTACTTTCATAATGGAATTGTGACCGTTCATACATGTATGGGTACACTTCGTAGATTTTTACTAAGCCTAGTAAAATGCGTGTCGGAGGAAGCTTACCACGAGGTGATTGGGAAGCACATGAGCGGCTGTTCTGGGCGCTTCTAACAGATGAGTCATACATCCACAGAGAACCTACGTTTGCATGCAGACCTCCACACCAGAATGACGATCTGTTTGTGGTTGGTCATTCAGCAAAACCTTTGGAAATGTAGGGGTTCATATGCGAAATGCTCAACTACTCGTATATCTCCGTGAGATGGCACTGAACAGTCTAGACACGAAAGCAACAGATTAATTTTGCTACCAGGTTTAGTCATTAAGATAGTCACTAGGATTGCAGTGTGGTACAGCTGTACTAAGGCATGGGAATCAAATGTGGTGTTTTGTTTCCTTTTTTAGCGCTGGTGAAAGCCTTTACCGTAGTGTTATGTTTTACAACTTTTTAAATAGAGGATCTGGTTTAGTTATTTGAGTGTAACTTGAGTTTTACTATGTTCTTGGTTGTCCTTTGATGTTCTGTTATGTTTGTTAATTACTTGTTATTTGTTATTTTTAATTATTTCAGTTAAAGGAGGAAAATGCGAAATCATCACTGAGTACATGGGCAAGCAAAGTAGCTGCAGCTGGCGAAAAAGTCGGGGACGTGTTCGGCTACGGTACCGAAGACAAAGACTATCGATTCGAAGAAGAAGCGACCGGAGATTTTGATTATCGTCAAGGAGGTGGACATATCGGAAGGAGGTATGCTTTATACCATGCCTTATGGTGAGCATGTAGAGGATTGCTTTCTTTTTCTGTGTTTGAATTCGTCTAAATCTGATTCGTGTTGTGGTATTGAGTAGTGTTGCCGATATCGATAGTATTATGAGGCAGTGTGATTATTTTCATTTCAGGCGTCGTCACTCTCCTCCACATGAGGATGATTGGGAATCGCGAGGCTCTAAGCGACCATACGGCGGTCGTGGATTCCGTGGATTCCGTCCGAAACCACGTTGGGCAACGGAGCACCAGATTTGCAAGTTTTTTCGCGAGGGCTATTGCAGAGACGGAGATAACTGCGCCTATTCACATCAAGCTGAGGATTCCCTTCGTCGTCCAGAGTTGTGCAAATTCTATCAACAAGGATTCTGCAAAAAAGGACTCACTTGTCTCTTACTACATGGTGAATTCCCATGCAAAGCATTCCACAAAGGGGAGTGCAGTCGCGAACCATGTCATTTTAGTCACGTTCCGTTAACAGATTACACGCGTCCTCTTTTTGAGCGAATGTGTCAGGAAGATGAGATGTATGCCAATCGGGGACTTGGAAACCATGTAGCACCAATGAAGCGACGAGTACTGCTGCCTCAGGGACCAGGAAGCAGCCAACAAGCGATCCCAGTTTCTACATCGACTGCAGCCATTCATACTGCTGTTCCACAGCAACCTACAAATGGATCTCTGGCGCCACCATCCGTTGTAGTCCCCACATTAGGTGGTAGTGTTGGGCCTACTCCTCCTCCTTTTCCAGCTATGCCACCAAGATTACCGTTTTATGCTCCCATAGTGACATCCCCACAACGGTTTGACGAGAAAGCATCATCTTCAACAGCAACCTCAACAACAACAAATACTGCAAATACGGCTCCTTCCACACAGTTTAATATCAGCCAGATGCTGGCACAGATAGCCGGTGACCCAGTAGCTGACGAAGAAAGTCCAGCTAGTCCACCTCGCTACAGTGGACTGGGTGATAGCGCAGTAGTTCGCCAAATTCCCGAAGGTAACGTTGTTGCATGGCGGCTGATAGAAATAGAAAGAGCGACCCCATATTCGGGAATTAATCCTGGTTTTTCGCTAACAAGTCAGGATCCGCGAATGAATCGTGTGATTTCGTCACAGTTCGATGCCGTATCGTCGTTGATCGCCGCAACACCACAACCTTCATCCGATTCGTCGTCAAGCAGTAGGGCGGATTTGAGATTTATGCCACAAGAACGAAGAGCAAGCGATGAGAGGCCTCGTGCTTCATCTTGGATGCCACAAATGGCTTGACTTTTTTAAAATTGCATTCTTATTGCTCATATTTGCGCTCATATGTGAATGCGAGTATGTTCCTTTTTTTCTCCACCTGGTGTCTCACGTGGAATATGGGTCTCAAATGGTGTGACTCTCGCACTCTTTCAGTTTTTCAGTTTAATGTTGGATCACAGTGCTCCTTTAGCTCCTCAGTGTTATTTGTTCTTCCTTATGCATTTGCTTAATAGAGGAGTTTTGAACATGGATAATGCTGATAAATTTATGACACTATAGGGAAGCAAATATATCAAATGAAATTTGGGGATGATGGGTAATGAGAGAAAAGGGAAATGAATGAGAAAAGTGGTTGAAAATACACGAAAGTTGGCAGAATAGTATTGTTATGGTTCATGAACGCTGGTATTGAGTTGATGTCAGTGTTATGGGGATGACAGATGTGGTTCAAAGATGGTGAAACAAACTCGGTAACAGTATTCCTTGGGAAGTGAGAGCTCGAGGTTCTAATGGTAATTCATAATGTACAAGCGGATATAAATTTTAATGGACATGTTTCGAATTATGATGTTATAAGCGGTGTTTTACAAGTTTGAAGTTGAAAACTTTCATGTTGTTGCTGAAGCTGGAAGATCCGTTGGTCAGGTGTTCTGAGAACAAAACTGTGAGAAACAAGAGTTAGTGAAGGATAAAGGGGAAGCAAATTGATCTGGAAAAGTGTTCATGGTTGTATTCGTCACAGTTATGGTGAAAAGTTCATGAAGGACAAGAAGGAAGCAGATTGATCGGGATATGATTAGGATCGGTGTCATGGTTGTGTTCTTTACAATTATGGTGGAAATAGTTTGCAACTGGTACGCATTTAGTGTTCAAATGAGAAAGAAGTGTTAAGTGATTTCAAGAAGCAAATAAGGTACCATTGTTGTTAATGTGAAGATAGATTTTATTTGAGGTGCCAACTGGTTTGTCGGGGCTAGTGTGCCGCAACAAGCTATGAGATGGACCATTCAGTGTCTTCGAGTTTGCTATTTGTAACTATCCATGTAGTGCTTTACATTTGGAAGAGGTTCGAGCACTTGGAACATCAATTCTCGACAATGTAAGCTTTACACTGAGTTGAGTTTCACTTGAGAGGAAGACTACGAACACATGTTTTTATGGGGGTACACATTTTGTCTATTGCAAATAACTCGTTTTTTGTATTTGTGATATATACACGTTCCTATATACATATTTGAAAAAAATCCTATAGGCGAAACACGATGACTTATGAGGTTGCAACGTATCCGAAGATTGGGATTTGAAACTGCACTATTGTTTCTGCGTGGACTGAACAACTGGACCCAATTGATGAACAGGGTGCGGGTAACAGTGGCTAGAAGCTTTGTGCAGCACTCGCATAGAGGCTGCCACTATCCCGCCTGGCTGTGGTGAAGTCCACCATTCTTCTGAAGTCGAAAAATTGGTGGGAGTTCTTTTCGGGAAAGAATCCCTATCTGCTTATAGCGGGTTAGCTAATGCGTAATTCAATGAAGATCGTGGGGAATGCTCTGGCAAGGCCATTTCGGAACTGCATAGACAGTCACGATCGACCAGCTTAAACTAAACATTCATGAGAAAAGGGAAAAAATCCCAAGAAGCAGCCAAAGCCACATGCACATTGGAATGCACTCGTGGTTTTTCAACATGTTATTCTCGTCTTGAAGTCCCCCAGAACCACATATTGCTAACTGTAGTGGAGACATGAGGACTAGTTTATTCATATGTTCAGCTGAATCATTTCCTATAAATCCGAGTGATGTGGTCCATTTAGAAGCCTTCAATTTACCAGTTTATTTGCGATGTCGGAAGGAAACCATAATCCGTTCGATTTACTCAACTCACTGACGATCATATGACCTACATAGGGGTTAACTCGGACTGAAACTTTGCCAATGCAAGTCGCAACGTTCACACGGTCACCCAGTCCCACCTGAGGTGATTTATTAAGTGGGATCACTTCCTGTGAGATAGGATTGCGTCCTGGAACATCTTAGTGATATTTGTGACCTTTATTTTATTAAAATTAGGGAATTTTAAAATAAAAATAATATTTGGTGAGTACTGCTTTTTGTTTGGGAGATCAAACTCTGTTCAATAACCTTTCTCATATACTCAAGTTTCTAAGTGCTCTGGCTATCAAGAAATCGACAGTCATTGAGAAACGTAAGATCATCTGCGCTTCCTTTAAGGCGAATACTTTATGGATTTTTATGGATTTCACTCAGTTGAATGTCAGTGCGAAAAGTAATGTAGAGCATTCTGTCATTTGAAAGTAAACTTGCAAAAGCTTCAAAGAGAGCAGTGTGTTCATCCAGTGTAAAAAGTAAAGAAGAAAGCAGGGATGCTTATTAATTTATTGATATAACGGAAAAGAAGAATATAGTATTGGGAACTCATTGCCATAAAGGGTAAAGGATATGGCGTTCTGCGTTGATTAAATCCTGAGAGATACGCCATGCATTTGTCTTCATTTACTTGATGTCCATATCCGGCCTATTCAATAATCTGCGATGGCTAAGTTATGTATCGCTGGTATTTTTATTCTCCAAGAGAAACCCACCACCAACTTACCGAACTCGAAGGTATGGAGGGCATTTTTATCTCTGCGCCGGGTCCCGTATAGAGGACATTCTCCATAAATCTGAAATGTTCTCTATCCATTCATACTATATAAGCTTTGCTATCGTTTCCAAATGCTCTTTTTGTAAAAGCACAAGTTATTCCATCGCTTTCACATGAACTTTTTGAAAAAGCCCTTGCTTCGCCTCTCAGATGAGCTTTCCAGCAGCTGCGCGCTTCCACATATACTTTCTGTATTTTTTTGTAAGCTATTGCATAGACTCAACGAACTTTCTGATAGCTATATAAGATCGTACTAGGTGAGAAACTTTTAGAGTCTCTCTCTAGGCGCCGTCTCTGGTTCTCAGTGTGAAAACCCCACCCTTTATTGAAGGAATATAAGCAGCCCATCAGATAGCTTTCTTAGTGTTTGCACAGTGTTCGATCAGTTCGTCCAATTTATTCAATTCGTTCAATTCGTCCAACCGGTGCCATTCGAATCCACCTTGTATACTACACTTTGCTGGTGTGCTGTTATTATTGCTACTACAACTGTAAAAGTATTAACCTAACGTCTCAAGGCGTTTGACTCAGTGATTTACACACGGAAGCCCGACGTGGCCGCTACAAAGACTAATATTCCCAATTACTTGGTATTCAACAAAGTTGTGAACGCTACAACGTCCTCTGTTCATGGCAGGACATGTTTAACCACTACGCTGCAGGAATTCTCTTACATCCCTATAGTATGCGCAAGACAGCCTGAAATTATTATCAAACCATGAGTGGAAATCAATGCAAATATGGAGACAAATGAGAACGACATAATATATATTGGATAGATCTGCTTCTGTTCCAGTCAACACGCTGAAATAACTGTCGTCGATGCTTCAAGAATTTGCGTTCTGCAATAACAATGACAAAGAGAAATTCCTGATGTGTCTCTTCGGCGATGTGAGATATCTCAAATTCTTCGGGCATTAACAAAACATAAATAAGCTGCGTTTGATATAAAAGCACCTAATCTCGTCGTCAAAAGTTTTTTCAAGTGATTACAGTACCTTGGTTTTTCGTTCGTCCTTGAAGCTTCGTCAACAGATCGTTCCTTTTTGTGGGAAGTCGACGTTAATGGCTATGTTCCTCATCGTCGTGTCCCTGCTCTCTCTCACGCTTATCAATGGCGTTCAAACAGCTTCTTGTTCCTTTTACTGCTTCGTCTCTCCTGCACTGGTGAGTGCCAAAAATGCAGAAATTTTCTAATTGAGAGTACAGTACTACTCGGTGCTAACAGCTAAACCGTTAGGATCACGATTCTAGAAGGAAACGTTCGATATTAGCTTCTATCGCAATTTGTCGTGCACTCACTTCGTGTACGGTTCTTCGAGAATCCGACCTGATATGTCTCTTTATGGTGTCACAGCTCGTGATAACATGGACGTGATGAAACCTGGAAATCTGCGGAAATTTTTAGGGTGAGTTATCTTGTTGTGAACAAAAGACGTTCATGTGAATAGCAAATATCTGAGTATGATGTCAAAGTTTGCAAGTATTTTCAATTTTTGCTAAGTCGTCAATGTCAATTATTTTTCTTTACCTGCTTTCTCCTCAACAGGTGTTAGCGCTGAGCCATCCCGTTAAGTTTTGGTGTCTCCGAATAAATTCCTTCCGTTTTCTTCGCTTTAGAGGAGCTCCAATGATTGAAAAAGGAAGTACTTGTGCAGAATTCCAAGTACTGGAAAGGTTTTCTCTCTGTAAGGGATCTCTATGATCCGAGAAGTGTTTGTCGTTCAGATAAGAGTAACAGAATGTTAAGTGACTGCTATTACGTGATAACCGTGATAACCGATAACATAGGATGCCCATGCTTAAGGATGTATAGTTGACCTTCTACTTTTTTTCTGCCAGATGTGTTGCGTTTTACTATTTTTTTCCACTTCTTGTGTTTGATCCCAAGGAACTAACACTTATGGCTATTCTTTCCACCTCTGTTCAGCAAACACGAGGTGCTATTCCACTTCCCCACTCACGTAAAAGCTGACGTTTCGGCGGATTTCGCCCTCCTCAGAGCCTGGAAATGTCAAGTTGACAGCAACCTATTCAGCCAAACACCTTCATAAACAAACAGAGAAAACGCTAAACGAAGATTTCAATCACATTGAACACGGAGTCTTTGCACACTCACCGCTTTCTATGAGTCTTTCACTGAGTATGTCGTGTGAAGAGCAACCGCACAGAACTCACATGGAAGCGTAATATGCCCTTCCCATCAGAAAAAATCATAGACTCATAGAAAGAAGTTTAAAAAAAATGGAATGCGCCATCATGGACTTATGGGTATATTGTGCGATACCTTCGAGTATGGGCATGAGGACACCAACTAGATCGTATATTCAGATCTGTCAAAATGCTCTATCCATGATGGGAATCGTAAGTGAATAGTAAGAGATCTAGAATGTACTGGACAGGTAGAAAACAGCATAACCTGTATCACCTGCAGTCCCGTTGATCGTCGAGTGACTCGAGCGGACGCTAGTAAATCTTCCATTTTTCCCTGTCACGTGCAAGAGTAGCCCAGTGGGTTCTGCTCGCTCTAGGGACTCCTTGAGCATCATATTTTTTTTCTAGGCTCTTTGTGAAAAACTCTGACCATTGGGTCGGTGGTCTTCCAGCGATACGTCTGACATCCCGAGGAATCCAGTCACTAATGGCTCTTCTCCATCGGTTGTCATTCACACGCATTACGTGTCCGGCCCACCTTATCTTCAACTGTTTGGCGTACAGAACGGCACCTTTGTTTTTTGATCGTTGAGGGAGGCTGGAGCTTCGGATTGACCAGGTTTCTCACGCATACGTTAAAGCAGGAAGTATCGTCGAGTCGAAAAGGTGAGCACGGAGTCGGGGGTTCTTTGTTCTCTTCACTACATCCCCTATCCTTTTGAAAGCTCTCCAAGCCGCTCGTTTCCTACTGCTCAGCTTTGGAGCTAGGTCGTTCATCATATTGATTTCCTAACCTAAATAGATATAACTGGAACATTCGGAGATATTCGTTCCGTTGAGCGTGAATGGTGCATGCGAAACCAATCCGTTCTTCATTAACATCGTTTTTGTGAGTTTTAGTCGAAGACCAATCTTTCCCCAGGCTTTATCAAACTCGTCATGCATTCGTTCTACTTGGGTAATGTTTGGTGCTGTAAGAACTATGTTATCAACAAAGCGAAGACGGTGTAATTGCCCACCGTCGATTTTCACTCCCATACTATCCCATTCCAATGTTCGCATGACATTTTGGGAGTGTTGCGGTAAATAATTTTGAGGAAATGGTATCGCGTTGTGTAACGCCTCTTTTGACGTCAATGTTAATCTCGTTGTAGAATGGTGACATTTTGGTTGTAAAATTTTTGTACAGCTCATGAAGAATCTCTATGTACTGAGGTAGGGACTCCTTGACTATCACGGGCTTCCATGACTGCTTCTATCTCAACTGAATCAAAGGCCTTCTATAAATCGATGAAGGTGAGACAGAGCGATCTTTTGTACTCTCGCGATACTTCAATGAGCCGTGTTACCGTGTGGATATGGTCCATCGTACTAAATCCTTTTCGAAACCCTGCTTGCTCACATGGCTGTCCTTCGTCTAGTGTTCTGTCAATCCTGTTTAGGACGACGCGAGTGAAAAGTTTGTAGACGACAGACAGTAAGCAGATTGGGCGATAGTTGCCGATATCGTGCAGCTCATTCTTCTTGAACAATAACACGGTCTTGCTGGTCTTCCACTGAGTAGGGACCTTGCATTCAGACAGGTAACGTGTGAAGAGCCGAGCCAGTGTGTTTACGAGGACTGGCGGAAGGTTTTTCAGGTGTTCTGGTCTTATCCTGTCCGGACCTGGTGCTGTTCAATTTTTCACCGACGAAGTGGCATGTCGGATTTCGGAAGGGAAAATCGGTGGTACAACATATCCATCCTCCTTTATTTCATCTGACGGACGGTGTACGTGGCTATCGAAGAGATCCGAGTAGTATTCGTGAATGATTTTCTCCATTGCCTTTCTGGACACTGTAACTGTTCTGTCTGGACGCCGAAGTGCAATCATTTTGGTCTTGCAATTGGCGAAGCTTCGGTGGGCTTTGCGAATGCTTTTCCCAGCCTCTGCTGCTTCGGCTATTACTGCTGCTCTTCTCTCTCTAAAATCTTCTTTCATCGCCTGTCTGCATTGTTTTGCAAGTTCGGACGTAGTTTGTGGTTGCCTGCAGCTCGTGCGATTCAACGCTGGCGTATCGGCTCGAATGTTTCTAGAGACAGACGTCTCTTGGTGACTTTCGGACTCTGACCTTTCATAGCGCTAGTGTGAAGATGTGGAATGAGCCGATCGTATTCTTCGTTGATGTTATCGACAACGGCATCTTCCCAACAGCCGTCTAATGCACTGAATAAATCCCAGTTTACGGTAGTTTTGAGTCTTCGGTTTTGGAATTTAGCGGCTTTTTCTCCTTTCCGCCAGAAATAGAATCTTGCACGAAGGAGACGGTGGTCTGATCCCGAGTAGAATTTTGGGAAAACAGTGACATCGGTTTAGCAAAACCTATATACTATGATGTGGTCTATTTCACTATGGTACTTTCCATTGGGAGACTCCCACGTCTATCGCTGAGGGTGGAGCTTCTGGAATTGCGAGTTGCCATGGATTGTCTTGCTCGCCATAATAAACTCAGCCGCTCACCCTGTTCGTTCCATTCCAATCCGTGGCTCTCAGTGTGACGTTCTTCGGACGCTCTTCTTGGTCCAATCTTGACGTTGAAATCTCCAATGATGACCTTGAAGAATGTGGTCTTCTCTGTAGAAATTCTCCAAGTCCATATAAAACGCTTCGACTTCTTGTTCGCCATAGTTTGATGTTGGCCATAAACGACAAGGACTGTCAAAGCCGGAATTGATCCATATCTTTTTAATCGTCTTCTCCGCTGTCATCGACGGCGTTGAAAGGCTGGCGTCTTCTCGTCTTGGCCAAACCGATGACGTCGTACTTCATCCTTTTTGCTTGCATGAGCAAGTCTTCTATCGAGGAATCGGATGTAAGTGTACGTGCATTGTTGGTATAGATCGTCACCTTAGTTCTTCGTGATCCAGGTAGCCTCCATTGGCAGTGAGATTTTTGCAGCCTTTCCGTACTTGTCCTACCAACGTCCAACGCTGTGAAATTGGAGGCTCTTTCGTCACACTTGGGGTTTGATTAAAGCTGAGAGCCCTATCCATTTTTATCCTCTTCTTACTTTGAAAATCTCTGACGAGGGTTTATTGATTCCACCGCGAAAGATGTGGGATCATTGACCGATTGCATTACTTCTTTTCAACAGATAAAGCCCACTGACCTACTATGCGGCAACACTACAACACGAGTTCTGTTATTCTCGAGCAATATCAGCTGCAAAATTTAGAAAAAGTTCGACAAGGGAATAGAAATTGTTTAAAAGTGTCTAACATCATGCTGTAGACCTTCTCCAAAAACTGGGATGGGAAGATGTAAAAGTCATTTCCAGCGGAACGTTTCATCCTGCTGTGTTTATCTGAGCAGGAAAGTCAGTATTACGAATGAGTCGGCTCTGATTTATGGCATGTTGGAAAGTTTTCTAATGTATCGAATAAGTGAAGAAGAAAAAAGGGAGCACTCAGTGCTGTGTACAACTCCTTGATCCCACATTTGTTCCAGCATTAACGTAGGCCTCCTAGTTACCATCTAACTGGATACCTAGGCGATTAACGATTTTTCGTACAATATAGAAAGTAGTGCGTAAGCTATCAGCGATGCGACTATGTTCACGAGATGTCAAACATGCAAAGACCACTAATCCAATGAGCAAGCTTCTTTGCGAGTTATTGGACGAAAAATGCTAAAAGAAACCATCAGATAACTCTCAAATGCGCCAGGAACCGAAAGGACACACTAAAAGCTGCTCAAATCAATCCATGGCCAACAACAGGGCTAATGGCAGGTGCCAAGTGACAGTAGAGAGATCACTCATCACCTGTAGTTCCCTTGATCGTCGAGTGATTCGAGCGGGTGCCAGTAAATCTTCCATTTTTCCTTGTAACGTGCAAGAGTGGTCCGGTGGATTTTGCTTGCACTACAGACTCGTTGAGCATCACACCTTTTTTCCAGATTTTTCGTGAACAACTCTGACCATCGAATAAGTGGTCTTCCTACAGTACGTTTGACATACCGTGGAATCCAGTCACTAACTGCTCTTGTCCATCAATTGTCGTTCATACGCATTACGTTTTCGGTTTACCTTATCTTCGAGTCAGACAGTAGAGAGTTCATTCATAGAAATCATTACCTAATGGTGTTTTAATCACCGCAACGGCTGTGAACCTTTGAGATCATGAGACATAAATATGTCAAAGTTTTCGACTTTCCTCGACAGTACTGACAGATCAGCAATCGTTGGACTAAGAAAACCTTCATAAAATTGGTTTGAACGTTTTCTCGAAGCATATGGCTTTTTCTACACGAATTCTATTGTTTTATTTCGCTATAGTTGCTGTTCAGGTCGTGGATTAACGTCATCTGAAAGCCTACTCTGTCCATGGTACCATAAAAGACATTTGATAAAAAGATAAATGAAGAAGTTTTGGACGTTGATTAATCCATGAGTGGTGCGCAGTGCATTCGACTTCGTTAAACATCGTTTGGAGGAGATTGAATGCATATCTGGCTCCTACAATGATTTGCGGTGGGTTAGTGATGTATTGAGTCAGTGCTGCTATCCTCCCTGGCAAGTCTGGTACCAATTTGCTGACCCCTGAGAGATGGAAGGCTTGGTGTGCCATGGGCGAGGGAATCGATTCCACGTGTGCGTTGCAGAGCGCCTTCGACTACTGCACCACACGCGACCCAAAAGACCAGGTAAAAGGACATTTGATAACTTCAGCAAATAGCGAAACTTCTTGAAAATCATTCAAGTAGTTGAAGGGAACAAATACGAAGTAAAAGGTTGCTGTAAGTAAAAATTTGGTCTCCTCGTATTACATTTTTCCTTGAATTTGGTGATAGGTTTCAAAATTGATATTACCTTCCTATTAGGAGGAACACTAGAAAATTTCAGCATTGCTAATGTCAATGAAAAAGAAATATAAGAATTGAGCGATATTTGCGGTGGATAAGTGACTGCATGATTAGTGTACACGAGTAAAATTTCAATCATTAATTACAACTGGTAACACGATGTGAGAAAGCAACGCAGTGATTAGTGTGGTAGTTCATCAGGAAAAAGCTGCTGGTTCGAACCCGTTGCCACGCTCTTCTCCAGTCCACGTGGGAATACCTTAGCTCGGCTGTCTCTAATATTGAAAGAAAAACCGACTCGAGTAGCATTCTACGATTCATAATGGAGACGAAGTCCTCAAGCAGCATCCGAAATAACACGCGAAATGTTCGAAGGTTTTGTCGATGGTGGATGTGAGAGAAAGGAATCGAATGGAAGAAGTGGTGGAATCCACGCAGTACATGTGATGACGAGTCATGTAAAAAAAGAATGTGAAATGGTATTGTAGATAAAGCCAAAAACATTTTCTACCTTCAAATATGTTAGGCCGCCCGTTTCAATACTGATGAAGCCTATTACCAATCAGCAACTTTTGCCTAGTTCAGATTCCGCAGCACACATATCAATTCTACCCTTCTTCTCGGAGTACATTTGTCGGAGAGAGATGTGATCCAGGATATCCGGCTCATTCGTCGCACAGCCAAACACCTCGTCGAAGTCGTCGAACAAAAGTCAGTATTTTTTCTCTAAACTCTCTTCCGACTGTGCGAGAGTGTTGCTGTATCTCCGAGACTGCTTTAAACATTTGCTTGTAATGACGTAATGGAAATATTTATTATGGGAAGCTTTCTCCTTTGGTGTATAGTAGGACTGGGAAACAAAGATGAACTGCTTATACGTTTCATCCTTATGGTAAGAAACTCCTCAGAAAAAAAAACTAACTTTTGAACTTGCTTCCTTCTGTTTAGTTGAAATATCATACTCATCTATAGTTGGCTGTATGTAGTAGGTGAAGGATAGTAGAATTTTGTATTCTTCTCTACCAAAGCCTTTGTCTAAAAGGAAACCAACCCGGCATTTATTGTAATGACATAAGATTTGGTTTAACTTTTCCCATCGTAGGCATCTCGACGGTCTATTCATTCGAATTGACGGGCCTATTTTGGAATCGACAATTTCTCAACACTTCCTTTCAGTAAGGCTGTACGCATTCAGTATATTTGTGTAGTCGGTTTCATTAAACAAAATCTAGGCTGTTTCCATGACTCCATCGAAACCTTCTTTTAAAACGACACTGGCAATCTCTCCACGTTGGATGTGGCGAATTGGTGATAGATTGAGCGATCTTGTCGACTATGTCGATCACATCTACATCGCCATGGAAGAGCTTCCAGTATGTAAATTTCTTCCTAACTACACTCAAACGCCAAATAAGTTTTACAGTTAAAAGTAATCTTGCTGTGTTTGACCATCGGAAAAGTTAAATCCTACACCTACACTCCGCTTCCAGCAAATTCACATGCAGGGTATTACTTACTCACTTGGATATTTAGATGCCCCGTCCTCACTAGTTATGCAGACTCCAGCATAATCTCCAATTTTTCGGAGTTTTGCTGATTTGCCACTGTGGTTTCCAGGAGTTCCGAGGTCAGGCAGGCCAAAGTCTGCCCTAGGTCGTCACCACCACAGGTAGTCGCTGCCTTTGTAGATCAGAGAGAGATTTGCCACTAGGCGACTACTTTGGTAAACGGGTGGTGACGGATTCTGGTATTGGTTCACTCTTAGCTCGGCTTTCTGATGGAAACGCCGACCTCCTTCTCAACTAGGGAGACGCTACCAAAAAGATGAATCTCCTGTTGTATAGCGCAGTCCAACACTCAGGAACACCTCCCAGCTACCATGAGGCGGTAAACCGTTGAAAGGGCAGGGTATTTACTCAAGTTTTCTACACTCACCATACCTCAGCTTGTTTTTCATGTGAATCTATGCTTGTAACTTACTGAAGCTTCCTTGTAATGTATGATATAACAGTCATCGGAGGACGCATATTCGGTGAGTCATCTCGATCCTCTCATGTCAGCACAGTCAATCCCACTGGAGGATACAATCAGCGGCTGTATAGACAAGTAGGTTCTCACGATTTATTTCAAATGAAGAGCAAATCTAATCAATGAAGTAAAAACTAGAACAATTGACACAGCAATGTTTTATAGGATGTTGAACAGTGATATACCAGCGAAAAAAATAATTGTTGGATTAAGCAGCGGTGGACGAACGTTTAAGGTAATAGTCGTTATGGATACAACTCTCTTCAGATTAAGCCCATCGGAAATCCGTAACCCACGCTATTCCTTTGTAAGATGATGAGTATAGAAAGGCAGTATTTTAGTTTTAAATGTGGTGGACGCTTTCCACATTTATCGGTGCATGAATCGAATTGAAATCGTGCTAAAGTAGATTACGTACATCCCTTTGGAAATTTAACGTTGTTCTTTGTAGACAGCCTTCGGCTTAAATAAAGCCGTGCGTTTTACTCCGAGAATCTACTTACGGGATCTTTAGGTAGTTCTTTCTACTTCTGTTTAGCAAACATGAGGTGTTATTTTATTTCTTTATTTACGCACAAGCTGACGTTTCGGCGGATTTCGTCTTTTCCTCAGAGCCTGGAAAGGTCAAGTTGACTGCAATCCATTCGGCCAAACATCTCCATAACCAAGCCGAGAAAATGCTGAAACAAAATTTCAATCACATTGAACACGGAGTCTTTGCACACTCACCGCTTTCTATGAGTCTTCCACTAAATATGTCACGTGGAGACCAACCGCACAGAGTTCACATGGAATCATAATGTGCCCATCTCATCAGAATAACAGGCTTATATACTGCCCAATATTATCCATGATGATGGGGCAATCCTCTCTGCGGTTCATTTTCGGATTCTTGGAATTAATCCAGAATGCCTCTAGAGTTCTCCGCGCTTGTGTTCTCGATTCTTTCGCGAAGATCATAACCCTCACTTCAAAATCTTCTCCGTTACGTCTCTGCGTGCTATGCGTGCCTGGTGGAGTATTTAGTTTACGTTTGCTAACTAGGTGTTCTTTTATATGGACGCAGAGTGGTCAACCCATCTCGCCAATGTATTCGTCCCGCATGCTTTACAAGAGATCAGACAGGCTGTACGCGAACTCATGCAGCCACCGTCTCTACCTTTAGAGCAAACTATGCATTTTTGGGTTGCACATAGACTATCGAATAGGCGGTTATAGGCGGCGGTTTTAAATAGCGCTCTGAATAAAAGCATGTGTTAAGGTTCGTAATCCGAACTCTGCCGTTCATGGTGACATTGCCACAGAAGCGGGTACTCGTCAGGGCTTGCAGGATATCTGCCAGTCGTCAAGTTGCTTTATTTAATAAAATCCACATCTTTTCGCAATTTTACGTTTTTCCTTCTAAATGCTTTTTTAAAGAGGTCTCTTTCAACTCTTTTGCTGCCTCTGCTGTAGTGCTGCAGGGAAGGACCAACTGGACGTCTGTAAACTTTCCCAAAGAACAATCACTTGGGAAAAAGGTGGATTTTAGTCGTAAATTTTTATATCGTTGTCGGGGTCTAATCTTTAGCTGTGATACTGAAAAAATAATTTTTCAGATACATTGGATTAACCACCAAGGACTGGGTGGTGTTGGGCTGTCTTCTCTACAGTTGGACGATCCCACTGACAGATGTGGATTGGGCCAATATCCATCGCACATGATGATTGGCAAAGTGAATTCTTAAAAAAAGTTTAAATGGGAATAGATTGCGTTTCATTACATGAAAAGCAAAAATTAAAAAGCAGTAGAGCAATCAACTTCGAAGCATCGCAGTTCTCCAGGATTCGTCAGATAAGATTTAAATTACACATGCAGGAAGCTGCCTTGCAAATTAGATTGTTTAGATGTTAAAATGTCGTACGAGAGATCATCACCGTCAACCTCCAGCCCAATGCACTCGCCTTTGTTATCTCGACAAAGGTGCCGAGAAGTTTGATCCGTGGTCCTTGCAACCGTACTGGTGCAGCCACCTTGTCATAGGACCTATCGATATTCAGGTATGATGGTTACACAACGGTATTATTTAATTTGAAGTACGGAGTTGATATTTTGCAGTTGACGGACGCTATCGAAATTTCTGTGCCGGTTAAAAATCTGATCAGCCGCGTTAACGACTGGATCCGAAAATCTGACGACAATAAGGCGAAAGTAATATCCCAGAGTAATTTAGACTGTGAACAAAATGGGAAAAATAAGTAATCAAATAATGCAACGAATGATAGTGCATATTTCACGCTACAATGGCTCGTTGTTTTAAATCTCCTCTATGTATTATAGATCGTTCTCTCCATTGGAGCACAGCAGATGAATGACATTTGGCGTATGGAGCTCAGCATTCCGATTAAAAGAATGAACCTCATTAACAATATCAAGAACGTATGTGTAAACAGCATTCCAACTCGACCACATTTCATATTTAAGCAGGATTTAAATACTTATAGTCACTAGCTATTATGGCGCTATAGGTGGACGCATGTGGCGTAGTGCTTAGAAATTCTGTGCAATACACAAGTGGTCCTTGGTTCAATCCGTGTCCAAAGTAAACCAATCTTTCTGTAAGTCCAGTGACTGCGATTTAGTTTTAGATGCGTCTATTAGGGCAAAAGAACTGACCGAGGTATCGGTAGACCCGGCAACTTCATTGAATACGCCAAACATTTATTCAGTTGCTGAACAACTCTATGAATGCTCGATGCTTTGCGCATTTTCAAGGGATTGTTTAACGTCATACTCTTTACACTTTTTATTTTTTAACTAAGACCTTTATCTAGTTAGATAGCTTATCAGAAATCAAACCACATTTGGTAACGATGACATTACTATGTAAAATAGAAACGTTATAGACTGTTCGGTTTATGAACGCATCCGGAGTTGAGATATCGTGGACATTTGAGCCACTTGGCAGTGTCATGGACGCTTCACTTCTGTCGCAGTTCTTAGTCGATCTAAGGACTGTATTGCCTCAAGTAGGTGGTTTATTAACACCTTAGCACCGTATGCATTGACTGAAATGCAAATGCTTTTTGATTTATTTATTTATGAGATCTTATAAACTGATCTTCTTAAGCTGACGCGAGGTTGGTACAGATCTTCGTTGTCGTTGTCGTTGTCGTTGTTTTTGATGTTATTGATCGATGGCTGACGTTTCGGCGACTTCGCCTTCCTCAGAGCCTGGACGTACTTTATGTTAGAATACTTTTTATTATTCGGTGGAAAAGAAGGTTAAGGTATTAATGAAGATCAAACTTTCAAATAGACGCCATATTGAACAGAAAGGCCACTCACCGTGATGTTACGTGCGGGACTGGCCCACACGTAGCTCACGTGGAGTCGCGAGCAAGACACGCCCCGGGGTCAAAATATCATTTTGAAATA